AAAGGCCATGTATAATGTATTGTGTACTCTCTTCAATAGAATGAGAAATACTCTCTCTTGTTAATCTTCTTTTCTTCTGTATGATTCTTATCTATCTCTTCTTTATTCATAACATAAAAGACTTATTAAGAGAATTAATTAAGAAAATGGTCCTGACAACGCGCCAACCGTGATTGACTGAACGTTGATTAAGCTTTTCTGAAAATATGGGGTGAAAATATTTTGAAAATTACTGTTAATAGATAATTTAATGATTACTACTATAGTCAAGAAATATGGAATTTTGTGAGATTGGTCAATTTTCAATTTGATAATTATATTTTATGCTAAAATCAAAAACAGTTTCAGTTAAGAACCTGAATAAAGTGAAACATGAGAGACCTTATACCATACTCTTTAGAAAAAGTAATTAAATTTAAAAATTATTATCCTCGATTCTTCATGTAAGACCTAGTTATATAATTAGATGTTGCATTAACTCTCTAATTATTGGTAAACTTCTTGTTACCATGTTATACTATTTATTTTTCTCCTTAATATTCCATAAGGAATATGTTATCAATTATAGATTTTATCTTCAGGATAATAAATAATGATATAGCTCTTCTAGAGCATTAGTTTTTATCTTTTACCCAGATGGTAGAAATCTGTGCACTCATGGAAGGTTGAGCACTACTGGCTCTTCTGGAGCTTTTTTCAAAAGGAACATGAGATATAAGAAATGAAATTAATATTAATAATAACAAATTCCATCTGACATGATTTACACTTGTATTTCAACAATCTCCCCCTCAAGTGTGAGTCATATAAATATATTTTTCTTATTTCTGTATTTCAAATACAGTGAATAATATATAGTAAGCTAATAACATATCTTTAACTTGAAAATCCAAGTGCTTCCTGATTCATATATAATAATATATTTAAATCCAATTGAGCTATCACCTTAAGATCCTATAATAAGTAAATATTCTAATATAAATGTTTGTGGGACATAATTTTTCATTATCAATTCCTTTTCTGTTCACAAAAAAAAAGGGGGGAACTACATTAGTTATTGAAGAACTATATCAATTTTGTTACTAGTTTTTCAAGAACTATATTAACATTTTGCTTATTAGTTCTTCTAGAACTATATCAATATTTTGTTATTAGTCCTTCTGGAACTGTATCAATTTTTTGATTACATATAGTTCTTCAAAAAAAAAAGCTCTATCTAGTTCTTCAGGAACTAAAATATATTATTATATCACTATATGGTATATTTCACTTTTGTTATACTTTTTTTTCTTCCAAAATATGAAGTATTTTTTTTGTGAACAAAATACATATTTTCTCGATATTTTGTTATTCAAAAACTTTATTTCTTTGTATATATTATGTAATGCTTCAAAACTTATTCATAAATTTATAAATTCAACAAAAAAAAATCTATAAGGACTAAAATCAAACTATATAGTTAGGAAGATTTGAATCATAAGCCTTCAGGACTATTTATAAGTCATTAGTCTTGAAGACTCTATATTGAAAATTATATATATTTTTAAAGATCATTTGTGTCATTTAATATTTAAACCATAAGCCTTCAGGGCTTTAAAAACATCATAAGTTATTATTTTCATGTCATTCAATAACATGAGTGTAATGGCTGCTGGCCATTTAGTAATAACAAAATTATAATATTAATAAATGTCAAATTGAATGTCAAAAATATATGAGAATAAGATAAAAATAAACATGAATTTCAAATTAATTAAATGTAACATGAAATAAAGAGAAAAGATAAACTCTTTTACTAATACATCATTCACTATATATTCATTAGTTTTCTGGGCTACATTATTTATAATTCTAATTGTCATATTTTTTCTTTTATAAACAAACCATATAATGATCCTTCTCATAATCAAAACTATATGGCTTCATGCCATTTAATAAAGAAAATAAAGATACATGGCATCTAGCTATTTAATTTCAAAATAAAAAAAATTAAAGATATATGGTTTCTGATCATAAGATAAAACTTTGATGTTATATGGCTTCAAGCCAATTAATAAAATAACAAAATTAAATATTTATGACTTCTAGTCATAAGATAGAAAATCAAAATTATATGAATGCAAACCATTTAATAAGATAAAAGAAAATTTAAATATACATAAATGGCTTCTGGCTATAAAATAGAATATTCAACATGATATATATATATATATAAATAAAGAAAAATTAAATATATATATGGCTTCTAGCTATAAAATAGAAAATACAAATTATATGGCTTCTAGCCTTTTAATGAGATTTAAAAAATTCAAATATCTATGGCTTGTGGCCGTAAGATAGAAAATCAAATTTATATGACAACTAGCCATTTAATAAGATAAAACAAAATTATATATATGGCTTCTGGTCATAAAATAAAAAATTCAAATTACATGGCTTCTAGCCATTTAATAAGATAACAGTAATCAAATATATATGGCTTCTAGCCATAAGATGGAAAATTTATACCTAAATACTTTGAGTTATTTAATAAGATAAAATATCAAATATATATGGCTTCAAGTCATTTAAACAAAATAGAGAATTAACCCCATATATATATATATATGTTTGTGTGCGTGTATATATGGCTTCTAGCCATAAGATAAAAACTCAAAGTTGTATAGCTTCTGGCTATAATATAGAAAATCAAAATCGTATGGCTTTTAGCCATTTAATTTGAAAAGAATGGAAAATCTAAGTTATATGGCTTCTTGCCATTTAATTACAATGAGATGAAAACTTAGAATTATATGACTTCTGGCCATTTAACTTTAGATGGTAAATCTTTACGGATACTGCTAGTATCTATTGGAACTTCAAGTTCCATCGAAATAGTGACGTCAGGTCAATAAGAAATAGAGGGGAAAAAAATCTCCAATCGTAGCCATGGACCCGATATTTAAAACAACAGTAGATAATCCTTTTAATTCCATATAATGGCTTAGATTATCCTAGATAAATTGAATAGGAATACGGATACTCTGAAACACCATATATGAGATGCTCGAGGTATTTTTATTTGAACAGAGCAAATGATACTCTAGAAAAATAATAAAGATGATGCTCTAAAATTATGATGGGGTAGAAAAGTATATCATACGCACCTTGGTTAGAGCTTCGTGCTAATAACGTGTTATAAATAAAGAAGAGATATAGAAGAATCATATAGAGGAAGAGAGGATCAACAAGAGAGCTTATTTCTCATTCCATTGAAGAGTACACAATACATTATACATGGCTTCTATTTATAGGCACAGCTTTACATCTTTGATAGAATCTACAGATTACATGATAATATGAGATAATTGTGTGATATAGAGATAATGGGAGATATTAGAGATTATAGGAGATATAGGAGATAAAGGGAGATATATAGACATCCACAAAGATATTATTATATTTATAACACTTATCATATTAACTAATTTAATCAATATTCTTAGTGTTTATGGAGCCAGTTAGAGAAAGCATTGGACGAGACTGTTTCTTCACCACAAGTGGGCGATCATCTTCTTCGAGCGCCATGCTCAACAAGAGAAATGGAGGCTGTCATTGCTTATAACGCTGCAAATGCTTCGTGCACCACAATATTTTCCATAATGGTGGACCTTTGGAGAAGCAATTAGTAAGACGTTAATAGTGGTATTAAAGGTTAATGGAGGACTGAACATCTTGGTCGCTGTAGTGTTACGTGTTTCCTCCGTCACGCGGACGACCTGCGCTCGATGGCGGGCAACGGCGATTTTTGTCTGCTTTGAACTCCTGGCCCCCCAGGTCCGAAGGTATTATTGTATCATTTTCAGAATGGGTAAATAAATGATATTTTCAGTTTGGTTTGCTTTCTTTTACTTATTTATATCAGTTTGGTTTATGCGTGGATCAAATTTTATTGAATTACTTTATTTTCTACCAAAAAGTAGTAAATACTACTTCCCCATCCTTTTTATAAGATTTTGCATAGAAGTGTTTGAACATTAAATTTATTTTTACTAATTTTGCTTTTAATTAACTTTTTATTTTCTTTCCTCATCTTTTTTTTTCATACTACATTCTTTTTCATTGTTTATTTTATTATTAGCATTTTTCCTTCTTATTTGTTTTCTTATTAAAAATGGATATACTTGGAAAAAAAAGGTTCAGCTTTCATATGTTTATTGCTTTTAACTATTTTTCTAAATAACGTAATTTAGTTAAAATGATGTCATAAATACTGGAGGAAGTAATATTTAAACCAGTTTAGGTTTTTTCTTTTTTGGCAGATTATTCATAGTAAGATGGAGCAAATACAAATGAGAACTAAACTTGTTAATGCATATGTATACCGCACAATGCTCATGGAATACATGATTTGATATATGTGAAATGGAAGAACATAAATTAAAGTACACAAGAATATATGTCACATCTTCTCTTGGTGCAACTGAATATCTCTTGTGTGCAATCTATTTTTCTTTTTGTGCAAGTTATTATCCTTTTGTGCAAACTAGTCTATTGTACCCAAATAGTATTTAATTTTATACAAACCATCTTCCCTATGTATAACTCAACTTCACTTATGTACAACTTATCTTCCTCTGTGCAACCCATCATCTACGGAGACATTTGTCAATTAATTTTCTATGATTTATTCCCAATTTTTCCTTAATTCAAATGGTTTGATTTTCCTTTTTATAAAAATATCCCTATTTAACAACCGCCATTATGACCTACCTTTTATCATATGTACCTTTACTTATAAAGGATGCCTCATCTGTTAGATACCATAGTCTTCGCCTATTCATAGCACCTTCCAACTTTTGCCATGGCATTTCGAATCATCATCTGTTTTTGCTTGTTTTTTCTTTGTCCTTCCCCTTCTTCTTTTTTCAACCCCCCATTTTATAATTCTCATGATTCCTTCGCCCTTCTCAAATTCAAAAACTCTCTTTTTTGATCAATATGCTTCAATATTATGTTATAACTTTGTTATTGGTGAATCAAATTATTCACAGAACTCATCTTACCCACAGACAGCTTCAACGGGGATGATTCAAATTGCTACTTGTGGGATGGGATCACATGCAACTCCATGTCCAGTCATGTGATTGGTCTCGACCTCAATTGCAGTTGGCTTCAAGGTCAACTTCATCCTAATAGCACTCTTTTTCAGCTTTCTCATCTTCAAACACTCAATTTGGCTTTCAATGATTTTCGTGGGTCTTTGATATCACCTCAATTTGGAAAATTTCCTACTCTCATGTATTTAAACTTAAGCTACTCTCATTTTAGCGGTGAAATTCCTCCTAAAATTGTAGAATTGTCTAAATTGGTCTCTCTTGATTTGTCTCATAATAGATTTTACTCATTTGAGAAGTGGAGTCCTTTGAGACTTGAAGCATCCACATGGGAGAAGCTTATTCAAAACATGACTGATCTACAAGTACTTGTTTTAGATGAAGTATATATGTCTTCCACTACACCAAATTCTTTGTCTTTACCCATGAATTTGTCATCCTCTTTGGTCTCACTGAGCTGCAGGGAAATTCGGTTAATAACATTTTTCATTTACAAAATCTTCAAAAGTTAGATTTGTCGTGGAATGAGAATCTCATAAGTCAACTTCCAAAGTCCATAGGCCATTTGAAGTCTCTGATTAGTCTCTTGAGTCTTCAGCACTTCCAATTTAATGGGTCTATTCCTGTAAGTTTTGAGAACCTAACTCAGTTAATCGTTTTGGACCTTGCATCAAACAATTTTAGTGGTGAGTTACCTGATATATTTGAAAATCTTTCACATTTAGAATTGCTTGATTTCTTTGACAACAAGCTCCAAGGTAATTGTCCTCAATCAATTTTTAGTCTCATAAATCTTTCCTCTTTGAGTCTACCATCAAATTACTTGCTCGATTAGTCTTGATCAATTTTCAAAGCTTAAAAATCTAGCATACCTTGATATTTCTAACAAGTTTCTCTCACTTGACTTTGACAATACCACTCATTATACCATACCCAATCTTGAAAGTCTAGAGTTATCCTCTTGTAACATCAATGACTTTCCTAAACTATTAGGAAAACTTCAAAATTTGAAATTTTTTTAAATCTTTCCAATAACAAAATTCATGGACATATTCCCAACTGGTTCAATAATGCGGGGAGCGGTTCTTTGCTCTATTTGGATCTTTCTCATAATAACTTGACATCAGTTGAACATCTTTCAATGAGAAACTTGAACTTTCTTGATCTCAGCTTCAACTTGTTACAAGTAAATCTCCCAATTCCATCTTTTTAGTATCCAACAACTAATTCAGTGGAGACATTTCTTCCTCATTATGCAATGCAAGCTCACTTGAGATTCTCAACTTATCTCACAACTTCTTGCTAGGCCACATCTCGAATTGCCTTGTTGCATTACTATATCTTGAGAGTTTAGATCTGGAAATGAACAATTTTGTTGGAGCTATACCAAACCATTTTTCTGGGAGCAACTCCTTGCAATCTTTGCATTTGAACAACAATCAATTTGAGAAACGGTTGCCTTTGTCTTTGATCTATTGCAAGAAATTAAAGATTTTAAATGTCGGAGCAAACAAGATTGAAGATGAATTTCCTAATATTACCAGAACTCCAGGCACTCAATTTAAGAGATAATAAGTTTAATGACACCGTTTGTAGTTCGACCATCAAACATCCATGTCAAACATCCATGTCCTATGTTAAGAATTTTTTATGTTTCCAACAACCATTTTGGTGGAGCTTTGCCAATTGCATACAACACGAAATTTAAGGGAATGACGGGAAAAGATCACCTTGCAGTTGGTTTGAATTACATGGAAAATAAGCATAACGGTGTTTCATATAGAGAATCAGTGATGGTCACAATAAAGGGTAATGAGGTTGAGCTTGAAAGGATCTTAACTATATTCACAGCCATTGACTGGTTAAATAACATGTTTGATGGAGAGATTTCATATGTTATTGGTGAGCTACGTTTGTTAAAAGGGCTAAACCCGTTCCATAATAAAATTACTGGTTCTATTCCTCAATCCATTGCAAATTTGACAAATCTAGAATGGTTAGATTTATCATCAAATGGGCTTACAGGTGGGATTCCTCTTGCACTGACAAATCTCAACTTCTTTGGAGTTTTGAATGTTTCACAGAATCAACTTGTTGGAGAAATACCAAGAGGTAAGCAATTTGATACATTTTCACAAAATTACTTTGAAGGAAATTTAGGACTGTGGATTTCAATTGTCAAAAGCATGTAATCATGATGAAGGGAAATTGCCACAACCAACTTCATCAACTAATGACAAATTTGGATTTGGTTGGAAACCAGTGGCTTTGGGATATGGATGTGGAATGATGTTTGGAATACTCATGGGTCAAGTTGTTTTCTCAGCTGGAAAACGTGAAGGGTTTGTCAGAATTTTTCAAGTTAGACCTAAGAAGCAAGCAAAAAGGACAAGGAAAACAGCTCATCCAAGTCAAAGAAAAGCGACTTGGGCACAAAATGTGACTTCATCCGATATTCTGTCATCTCTTTTTCTTTCATGCGATAAAAACCTAAAATCTTTTAATAGAACTTTAAATTCTTGAAATGTTAAATGGTTATACTTATTTATGGTCGAAGTTAACTCTCATTTAGTTGGAATTTCAACGTCCTTCTTTCTATGGACATTGAACTCCATCTTGGTTGAGGATCTCTAATTTGTTCAAAAAGAATTATTTTTAACTATTAATTGCCAAATAACAAAAGTTGGTGACATGTCGGCTAACTGGGAAAAAACTTTCTAATATTTGTGGGTATTTTTACTCACATGCTAAAAAAGCAGAGAGCGTGCAGATGATGACAAATCTCATTAAAAAAAGAGTTACATTAAAATTAAAAATACAGTACATTTTAATTATTAACTGGATATTTAAGAGACATGAAACGAATCACTTTCTTCCTAAAAACTTTGTGATCATTATCAAGTAACACTCCAAATTTTCTTACCTAGGATAAACAGAAAAGAGGAAATCTATTTAAAATTATTTAAAGCCTAAATAGACTGAAAAAATTATGCAATATTAAATTTGAGAACTTAGAAATATTTTGAAAAAATTCATGTCCCAAACATGGCTCAAATAATTTTAAGAGCAAAAATAGGCTATTTTCCTAAAAAAAATTTATTGTTAGAGGTTTATATTTGAGCTGAAAATCTTAGAATAATTATATGCTGTGGAGAAGATGATAAATGAGAGATGAAATTCTTATAATGTGTTAAGAATTAATTTATGAAATTAAGTGCTATTTTCTTGCAAAATTAAAGAAAAATAGTTGGAAATTGATTTTTGACCCAAACTTTTTATGAAAATTATTTTAGGAGTCAGGGAAGCTATTGGATAAGGAAAATCCATATAAAATATTGTGAATATTAATTTTTGAGTTTATTTTACAATTACAGAAAAATAGAAAAAGGATGAAGACAAAAACTTTTTAAAGGGTATGATGGTCATTTCGATCCTGCCTAACAGATTTAAACCAGCAGCGCCTTCTTTCTTCTTCATTTTGCGACTGAAATCAGAGAGAGAGAGAGAGAGAGAGAGAGATGAGAGGCACCGAGGAGAAACGAAGAAGGAGAAGAGAGTGATTGGAGGTCGATTTATTATATGGAAACTGATTAATCAAGCAAGGTGAGCCTCCTAATCCCTCTCCCATGGTTGTTTTCCGGTTTTGGTGGGAAGTTGATAATGAAAGAAGTTTGGGTTTAGTGAGAGAAATTGAGGGAAACGGATGAAACAAGTTAGGAGGGGCGAAGATTAAAGCTTGTACGATTAAAATGTGGTGTTGCATCTTGATAAATCTGGCTGCATGTGGATTTTCTCGCTCTGTTTTGTTAATGGCCGAACAGGGGTTGATGGTTTCTGCAAGCTTTGGCTTCGGATTTCTTGTCCATTTGGGGGGTAGGAGTTGGCTTTGTGATTGCATGATGTTGGTTCTGGTTTTGCAAATGGGAGAGCGTATTTATGTGCGTGTGCGTGTGTGTAAATGATAACTCGTGTTCGAATTTGGATCTGAAACTAGATTAGAGAGAGATGTACATACAAATGCTATGTTTGTGTGTGTATGCCGCGAGAAGGAAGTTTGGAAGCTAAAATCAGATTGGAACTGAAAAGTGATACATACATACATACATACATACATATATATATATAGAGAGAGAGAGACACAAACACACAGTTAAATGGTTTCGAGTTATGGAAGTAGAGAGGATTTAGTTTGATGGAATTATGTAATTTTAATGCTTGTAGACGTGAGAATGGGAAGAACTATTGAATCTGGAATTTTGGCTAAAAACGAAGAAGAGAAATTGAAATGGGACCTTTGGGCTTCAATGGTTTTGATTTATGATGCTTAAAGATAGCATTTTAAAATCTGAAAAATTTCATATTCAAGGGAAGTTGTGAGTCGAAAATTTAATAGAAAGTGAAGAAAACATTAGCCACACATGAGAAACAACATAGAACGGTGGAATAGGAATTGTGATGTTTGTTTCATGGCTTTCATGTTAGGGATGGTGAAGAAGAAGTATTGGCTGAATCTAAAGCTTCCTGTTTCAATGGGTATAGCGCTGGGTTTTCTGATGAAAATGTTAAAGATAGTATAAATATTTAAAAGTGTGTAATATAGATGGATCATGGTTGTGTTGATGGCTGTCGGATGATTACATGCTGAGTTTTGAATTTTTGGAGAATATATTTCAAATCTGAAAAACTCCACATTAAATGAATGATGCCATTCAAACTTTGTGAAGAAGCGAGAGTGCTCATATGGTAGGGCAATGGTATGATGCAAGTGATGTTTAGATATATGAAGATTAGATGGTGCTGTGTGATAATTCGGAAGATGATTTTGACTCTGTTATACTATCCGAAAATTGTAACCTTTTATCTCGGGGGCATTTCATTTGGCTTTTATTAGGGAGATGTTATAACTGTGCCTTAAATTTTAGAACCATCGATTGTTGTTGTCTAGAACATTTTTGAAAGATAAAAGCTGAAATTTTGAGTGGAATTGAGGGGAGCTTTAGAGATTGAATGATGGAGGTTAGAATTAAATTTAGTAGATGTTTGGTGGCCAAAGAAGATAAGTTAGGAAAATATGATGCGATAGATTGTTGATGTTTCAAAGCGTTGTATTGAAAGTTCTTTCAGAACGTACAAGGATAGTTTGAATTAATATAGATGATTAAAAGTGTGTTTGCGGATTCAAAGATGATAGATAGATTAATAGTTATGAAGTTGAAAAATGATAAACATTAAGTTAATTGTGAATAAAAGTTAAGAGAGCTTATTGAATTATTTTGGAAGAAAGATTAAGTTGCTTAAGTAACTCAGGACTCTTAGAAATTACGTTAGCTTGGAAATGAGAAAAAATAAGTTGATGCAATTATATATACAATTGTTTGTGTGTTTCAGCCATGTGTGCAACATTAGTGAAGGTGGATTTTAATTTTTATTTCAATGGGATTAGATAATTGAGGAATGAAGGGCACCTTGTTTGTCCTTAAATGTGATACACACACAAATAATATTTTTGATTAAGATAACCAATTACTAAATAAAGTAACTGTATAGATTAAGATAAGGGAGAAAACCCTTCAAAGAGAATAGTTTAAATAAGAAAAATTGTCTAAAATGACTAATTACTAAATAGAGGTAAAAACTATAACACCCTAAATTTTTTGACTTGGAAAAAAGCAAAAAAATAAATAAATTTTATTTAAAATTATTTTAGAGCCTAAATAAAATGGGAGAAATTATAGAATATTAACTTTGAGGCCTTGAAAATTTTATGAAAAAGTTTATTTCCCCAAAAATGGCCTAAATAATTTTAAAGTTAATACCAAAAAATTTAAAGAAAAATACTTAGATGTTTCTAATTAACTTGAAAATTTTAGGGGAATTATTTTAAGTGATAAGAAATTTATTTAATGCATAAAATCCTTAAAATGAATAAAAAATTAATTTCTAGAATTAAGAGCTATTTTCTTAAAAAATTCAAAAACAATAGTTAGGAGTTGACTTTTAGCCTAAAATTGTTAGAGAAATTATTTTATGAGGCCATAGAAGCTAACGGATGTTATAAATCCATATGAAATATTATGGATTAATTTTTGGGCTTGTCTTATGTTTCAGAAAAATAGGAGGAAGGGTGGCCATGGAAGAAAGTAAAGAGCTGAAGGGCAAAATGGTAAATCCACATGCTCATGAAACCCACCTGCGGCGTGCCAGTATGCCGCACACTCCATTTGGCTTTAGAAATTTGTCTCCCCACCTCATTTGCGAGAGAGAGGGGGGGAGAGAGAGAGAGAGAGAGAGAGAACAGAGCGACGGCGAAGAGAGTGAGCTCGCCGAAAGTGGTGATCGGAGGAGCTATACTTGTATGCAATCCTGATTTCCAGCTAAGGTGAGCCTCATGAGTCCCTTTCTGTCTTCGTTTTCTTGGATTGATGCTTGGTTCCGGCGTGTTTGAGGAGAGAGGGAGAGATGGGATAGTGAGAGAAAGTGACAGGAAGAGTAAAATAGGTGATGGAATCGTGTCTTGGCTCACGATGGGAGTGTGTTGTGTTGATTTTGATCCAGGCATGTTGAAGTTCAGCTATGTGCAGAGGGTGGCCGAACAGTGGCCATGATTCTGCAAGTTTGAGCTTCAAATTCTTTGCTCTATTTTGTTGTTGGCCAAACAGGGGAATGAGTTGCTGGTTTAAGATGAGAATGGGTTGTGTTAATGGAGTGTGTTCAATGAATTGCACGTAGTTCTTCTTACTCTGTTATGATTACCAAAAATGGGGACCATAGTTGCTGTTAGCTGTCAAATTTATGATACCAGAACAAAAGGATCTGGCAAGAGGCTAGAATGATTTGCTCGCGGGAGATACATAATTTATTTATAGCTTTGTAGTTATATGTTAAGATATGGATATTTATGTACATAGGCACTATGAATTAAAGATAAGGAATGGTCGTAAATGCCGTAAGTTGCTAGGTTATGATCTTGAGTTTTGAACGTGGGTTTGAAATGTTATGCCCATAAATAGAAAGTCAGGTTGAGTTATTTAATTTATAAATTATAATTATAATTAGACCAAGTATTAAGCTACCCTTACAAATATGTTAGGTTTCAATATCTGCTCAAACCCTTCAAAGAAGCAAAAGAAGAAGAAATTTGTAAGATTTGATTTGGAGGGAAGCAAACTAGGCAATAGTTCTTTCCTACTTTACACTTGTGTATGATAGATGCATGTTTGTTTTTGTCATGTTGTTATTTTAAGACATGGGAATATGTAATTCTTAATTCCTTGCATGGATTATTTAGCCGCGATCACATATAGCTGATAGATATGGGGCAGTATCTACCAATTATTTACGTATTATTTATTCAGTTTGTCTATCTGTCATTGCGTATAAACACTTTATTGCATTAGCATGCAAGGTTATGTTCTATCTTGGCTTATTTTGCATGCTTTATATGATCTGCAATTTTGTTTGGTGGAAATTACTACTATCGGGATTATTTGGAATCTTACCCTCTTTTCTATGATGTACAGCAAAGGCAAGCAACTCTAAAGAGAAAAAGGGATTGAGAGGTGAATGTGGGCTGGACTAAAGAGCAGGAATGCCGGCTTAGTATTGTACTTTTATAGTAGAATATTTCGGTATTTATTTGCCTATATTTCTATATAAATCATGAGAGCAGGTCCTTATTACCTGCTCTATATAAATATAATTTTTGTATCCTTTATGCGTAGGGGAGCTCTGCCAAGCGCAGGTAAGAGCCATCAACTAGGATGGCTGATACAATGTAGCATAATATAATATTATAGAATTACATGGTTTGGAATCCTTATAGATGAAACAAATATAAGTCAGGATAGAGTCTGTTGTGAATCATTTGTCTGTTATTTTGGAAGTTTAAATTATTTAGACAACGAATTCTAATGTTTTTTCAGGCTCAATTCTTGCATTCGAATTCTGTCTCCAAATGGTTCATGTTTTAAATATATAAAAGTGATTCACAAACATTAAAATGACTTTAATAGTATATAGAAGGTAAGGTGTTGCGCATGATTTCTCAAAACAATGGTGCAAATAGGAATTTAAAATAAGCAATACAATTTTATTACAAATTTTAAAGCATTTTGGCCCATCATCGACTTATGTGACACTTTTTTTCTCTAAATAAATAAATAAATTCTTTTTTAAGACTGGTTTTTTCTTTTGACAGTTTTATTTGACATCATTAAAATGCCATAAAAATTAAGCGTCAATGAAATATGGCAAATGTGAAGTAGGAAAAAGGGGGGAAAAGTCAAATTAGTACTTCAATCTACCAATTTTTTCAAAAATAAAATAATTTTCAAGTATTTATTTATATCTTGGTTCATTCATGTTTGGGAAAATGACACAAAAATGATATTTGAATTTGAAAATGTCAAAATAATCACTTGAATTTGCAAAATCCTAATTTAGTCACAAGTGACTAATTTGTCATTTCTAAATTTGCTGAAATGATCATATTGCCCTTTATTTTATTTATTGTTTTTTTAAAAACCAAAGCCCTCATTGGCCGGCCAGTCGGCGGAGCTCTGGCACCAGCACCGACGGCCGTCATCGGAGCTTCGATGATTGACCGACAATTGGTCGCTGAAGCTTCAGCTGTCGAAAATAATTTTTTTGAAAATTTTTACAACTTCAATATAATGGTTAACAACTTTTGTAACTCTATTAACAATTTCAGTATAGCAATTAAAACCAGATTTTTCAGAAAATTCTCCGGTGGTAGGAAACAATTTTTTTGAAAATTTTTATAATTTCAGTATAAAGGTTAACAATTTTTGTAACGCTACTAACAACTTCACTATAGCAGTTAATAACAGGTCTTTCAAAAAATTCTCTGATTGCTGGAAACAATTTTTAAAATTTTTTTTTACAATTTTGGTATAATAGTTAACAACTTTTGTAACACTATTAACAGTTTCAATATAGTAGTTAACAACTGGTTTTCCGAAAATTTAAAAAGTAGTATTTTTACAACTCTAGTAATGCCATTAATAAATTCAAAAACCTGTTGTTAACTACTATATTTTGTTAATAGCATTATAAAAGTTGTTAACCATTATATTGAAGTTATAAAAATTTTCAAAAAAAAAAGTAGTTGCTAAAGTTGCAAAATGTCATTTTTTTTAATTTTTAAGAAAACCTGTTATTAAATGTTCTACCGAAGTTATTAACAGAGTTATGGAACTTGTTAACGACATTACTGAAGTTGTAAAAATGCTACTCTTTGAATTTTCTGGAAAACTTGTTGTTAATTGTTATATTAAAATTGTTAATAGTATTACAAAAATTGTTAACTGTTATACTAAAATTGTAAAAATTTTCAAAAAAAAAAGTTGTTACAGTTGTAAAAAAAATCATTTTTTTGAATTTTTAAGAAAACTTGTTGTTAAATGTTATACCGAAGTTGTTAATAGAGTTATGGAACTTGTTAACAGCATTACTGAAGTTGTAAAAATGTTAGTTTTTGAATTTTCTGGAAATCCTATTGTTAACTGCTATACTGAAATTATTAATAACGCTATAAAAGTTGTTCACCGTTATACTGAAATTGTAACATTTTTCCAAAAAATTGTTTCGGACCACCGGAGAATTTTTTAGAAAATCTGTTGTCCACTGCTATAATGAAGTTATTAATAGCATTACTGTAAAACCCCTTTTTACCACAAAACATTATAAACTCATGATCAAGTCACTACTATGGTAAAAAAGGAAAGAGGTTAAAATGAACTACCATAGTAGAAAGAAACTTCCATATTTTTAGAAATTGACTTTCAAACTCGGGTCAAACCCGAACTCCGTTGCATGCAACTAAAATCATTCATTCATATCCACTGGGCCTCCAAGCCTCCGGCCCGGGTAACAACATACATCAAAATCAATCCATCCAATTAGTTTTCAACCAGGTATAACAAAGTTTCATAAAACAATAGAAATGGCCTCCAGCCAACTAAAACGAGGAGATAACATATCCTCCAATTCACAATAAGATCAACAATCAAAATAGTTCAAAAGGACCCTAAATGTGGCAATATATATACTAGCCATACATATACAAAGGCTAGAGGCCTAAAGCTAACCAAGCTTAAGCCTCTGCGTCTCTTCCCGAAGGCGCACGCCTAGAACCTTCACTTGAAAACATTGTAAACCACGGGGTGAGACAAAGTCCCAGTGACCAACCTTTCCAATTCAAGGTACTACTAAATAGGTGCTCGTGAGGTGTCAAGTGGGGCATTTCACAAGTAATATTATAAATGATAGCCACAACAAGTCATGCAAGTGTAATGATGCAATTCCCATCAACCATATCTCTCACTTTGGGGGATCTTCAAGAGCCGAAGCCGGCCCATCCCTCACTATGGGGGACGTAGGGAGCCAAAAGGCCTATCCCTCACTCTGGGGGATGTACTGAGCCAACCATCATGCATTAATGGAGGCCTTACCACATGGTAGTAACTATCAAAATCTCTCACCAATTCCCAATTCATGCATCATGCTCAAACCATAATCAAATAGTAATTGAACATTTTATAATTAACTTCTTTCAGTAGCATATGTTTCACAATTCCAAGATTCATTCATCATCAATCGAAACCCCACAAGACGGTTTTCCTTTTTATATACAACATACACTTTGAATATAATTGTTACTCGGAGCACAAAATATAAATCTACTCACAATACCACAGAAGCAAGTACTAAAGATTGGAAAGTGGTTACCTCTCGCCTGAGCAAGGAATAACAAACCAACAATGTGGCCCCGTGCACCAACAAGACTCACAATCGGTTTACACAAGCACACAAATACACAACCATCATGTATTAGCTTTCAAACTAATAATGTGGCCAAAACAACATTTGGGGACACAAAATTCCTAGCTCCAACCAAAACTCTACCCAACTCAAAGGGTATAATCATCAAAACAACACTCTAAAGTCATAAAAGTCCATTAAAACATCAAATCCCCTTTCAAGCATCAATTAGGGTTCAAACCTCAAGGACCCACTATAGGAATTCTACACCCAAACATCCCATTTGAACAATTGAAGTTCTAACAATAATCTAAACCGATTAAACATCCAATTTAACCCCCTTGACATAACCCAATTCACCAAACTCATAATCAACCTCTACATTATCATCCTCAATCACAAAACTCCCTTTTTCATAAACCATAACTTCAAAAACTCCAAGTTCTTCAAATCTGAGGAAACTACACCGATTAAAAACTTAGACTAACCCAAAGCAATCAATTAAACTCAAAACAATTGGTCAAAAACCTCAATTCCATCACAACCTAGAAAACTCTAGGGTTCTACCAAAAATCCTCAGAAATTCCAAGAAAGAAAGTAGATTAGAGGTTAAAATCACTTACTTGAGGTAATGGATCCTTAGAAATGCCCCCTCCAAGCCAAAATATCGAAACCCTAGCAGAGCCTCTCTCTCTACCTCAGATTTTTCTAATTTTCGCACAACTGAACCCCTCCTATGACTATATAGATTCGGACTCCTTCGCCGCGGCGAACTAATCCTGAGAGGGATTACTCGCTTGAAAACCTGACTTCGCCGCGGCGAAAGCTTCCCGAGAGGAAACTCTCGCTCGCCCAGAAAACATTCGTCGCGGCATACCCCTACCTTCGCTGCTGTGAAACCTTCCCGAGAGGGAAACCCTGCTCACCTGAACAACTTCGCCGCGGCATCCCCAAGACTTCGCCGCGGCCAAACCTGCCCAAAAGACAATCCCCCTTGGAACTCCCATTTCGCCACGGCGAAGTGAAACTTCGCCGCAGCGAACATACCCTGAGAGGGGTACATTCACCTATTCCTCCAACATACCTCAATTCAACCCAAACACCAAGATCAACATTTAAATCACTAATCTATCCTCAAAATCAACCAAAAGAGGTTATTAAAACCCGATAAAAACTCAGGACGTTACAATTACAAAAGTGGTTAATTGTTATACTGAAATTGTAAAAATTTTCAAAAATATTGTTTCTAGTTGCCGGAGAATTTTTTGGAAAACCTGTTATTAACTGCTATACTGAAGTTGTTAACAGCGTTACAAAAATGGTTAACCATTATACTGAAGTTGTAAAAATTTTCAAAAAAAAAATTATCTTCGGTTGCTGGAAAATTTTCTGAAAAATTTGTTGTTAACTGCTGTACTGAAATTGTTAATAACGTTACAAAAGTTGTTAACTATTATTTGAAGTTTTGAAAGTTTTCAAAAAAATTGTTTTCAGCTTAAAAAACAATAAATAAAATGAAGGGCAATATGATCATTTTAATAAATTTATAGATGACAAATTGGTCACTTGTAATTAAATTGGAATTTTACAAATTCAAATAACTATTTTGACATTTTCAAGTTCAAGTATCATTTTAATGTCATTTTTCCTTCATATTTGTCTCACTTTCCTCCTCGTTGTTGAGTCCTTGAAAGAGGAGTTTTTGATAATAACACATGATGACCCTAATAAACAAGCATCCTAAAGATCTTTAATATCAATGTCAATATTTTTTTTTTTGCCAGCATCGATGTCAATATTTAATACATATCAATCCATACTAGGTTATAATGCCTACAAGTTGTCAATTAAGCACATATTAGATATAAAACAATTGAAAAATTGAAATAGATATAAAATATGAAAATAGTAAATCTTAAACTATATATCATGAATATTATATGAGCTAATATCCATAGTCCCTAAATCTTAGGATTCCTCACTTTTCAATGTTATAAAGACATAAGCTATATAACATTTATAATGA